TAACGCGTCGGCATTCGGCCTGCCGGCTGTATCGCAGGTAAAAACAGCGATTCCCCGGAGGATCGGCCGATCGGACAGCGGCGCCTTGGCGAGCGATCGCGAGCGGACGCGAGGGAACGCGCGAGCGTAGGCGCGCGGCGAACAATAAAACCTCGGCAGAGCCGCAAATAGCGGCCAGGCGAAAAGAAACGCGTAAATTCGTAAAGCTTAACGATCCGTAAATCTGCGGCCATCGGGAAATACGCGGGCCGCCTACGCGCTATAATTTTCCCGCGTAACGATCCGCGTTGTTCGCGCGGACCCGCGAGGAGAACGCGAGTCGTAAATAAAGCGGATGAAAACGGTGTTTGTCACGGCGTTTGCTGCGCCTCGCCACGCGTTGCATTTTAATTCCGCCGATTTCTTCGCCCGTTCGCGACGTTTATAGATGTACCATCGCGTCACCGCCGACGTCGTCGTCGTCGTCTCGCGAGCTTTAACGCGATCTTTGATACGGGGGGCTCTCCACCGCGAGATCCGTCGATCGTCGAGTCGAGTTGCCGCGTGATAATGGGGGAAGATCGATCGGGATCGCTGGAGATCGCTCGAATTCGGGGATAAATTTATAAAACGCATTACGCGCAGGCAGCGCCGCGCGCCGAGTGCTCTCTAAATATTTGTAGTTTGACGAGTCGCCATCGATTCCCGGATGATACAGCGGCAGAGTGTTTGCAGACACGCGGAGACAGAGAATCGCGCGATGGGAGTTAGAATGACAGCCGGCAATCTCGCAGGATCATCCCCTCGCGTCGGTCGGTATCGATACTCTCGTCACGAGTGTGACAATCGGCCAACAGCACCGGTGCCGCGGCGACCGGTCTCCCAGAAACCCGGCGACCCTCCAAACTCTCGCGAAACTCTCCCTGTTCGCGAGCCATAGAAACGCAAAGTTCGCACCCTCTTCGGCCAGTCGTGATACGACGAGGGTCACTCTCTCCTCGTTCCTTCCCGACCCCCTACGGTCGCCAAACCATTCCGCGCCGCGAGTACCGTTTAGCGCTCGCGCGAAACGAATAAGGGAAACGAGTTTCGGGGTTGAAAGGCTGAAAATCACGGCCGTTCACGGTAACGGGAGAAAACGTTGTGTTCCGTTCTGGCATAAGTTAACTCGATTTTCCAATATCCGAGTTTAGCGAGCGGCCAGGGAATACGGCGCACCCCGGGCCACTTTCGGCAAACTCCGTCGTTAAACCGTTGCCCCCATTACCGATATTACGCTGCAACCCAGCGCGGTCGTATTTCGATTTGACGCGGACCTATCGGTATAATTCCGTGGCAGGAAAATTCTACGCGCTCCGCGGATCGTTTACCGCGACCCCTCGACAACCGCGCGAGCTTGGGAACCCTATGGAAGAAGGGAAGGTAACGGGACATCTGAAACTACTCGGGGGTCCACCCTCCCCGGCACCGCGTAACCGCCGCCCTCGTAACTTTCTTCCTCCTACTTTCACCCGTGGAACGTCGTTACACACGCTCCGTGGGGAGAACTTTTGCACGCACGTGTTTCGCGTTTCTCACCGGTGCTTTATTAAACCGAGACCCTCCGGCTAAGCAACCGACTTCGAGAGGCCTCTCCCCCGCGAGGCAGGTATTCGGTGACACGAGGGTGCGTGAGAGCAGGTGACGCCGGCGTCTGGACGCCTGTCACGCTTGTAAGTCTTACGCGTTTAGCGATCGAAATCTCGGTTTATCCTACTTTAACTCGAATATCCGGAGAACAGCCGATGAGTCGTCGATCGAGTCGTTAACTTCGAAACGGCTATCCGGAATTTTCTTCGCGAACAAAGAGTCGTTGACATTCCCGAGTGACGAGTCTCTCGGACGGCAATTAGCGTTATCGGAGTGGAGCACGGGTGAACCGTCGTTAACGAGCCTGATAGAGATTGCGGTTCACGTATTTCGGTATTTTGCCCGGTATTTTGCCCGTGGACAAGGGCGGAAAGTCGATGGTCCGCGTGGGCCGCTGGAGCACCGGCCGTCACGTGCCTCCATCTGTCGTCGATTCCGTGGACTATTCACTGCCAAGGGCGCGACCAGCTCGCCTTTTCGTTCCTCGTGAAATATTTACGCGCAGTCGCGGATTTATTCAACGAATTTGACGTCCGACTATGACGCCGGCCACCGTGCGACGAGAAGTTTTCCACCATTCTGCCACGAGGAAACGAAGACTCCGCGACGGGATTTGCAGACGTCGCGACGATTATCGAGCTCGTCTCCGCGGCAACGGATTAGCGGGCTACGCGGTGTTTCGCGGAGTACGAGAGATCCGTTTAAATTTTCAATCCCATTTAAACGAACGCCGCGTGCACCGTATTTTTATCTTAACCGCGAACACCTTTCGAAACCTGATTTCGATCGAGCCCGCAATTAGCGACCCATTGATCTCCGCCGATATTCAAATTTCCCGCGCCATCGAACGCTGCCATTGCTCTCGGCAAATATTTTCGTATTTTCGCGTATTTTAGAACTTGCAGGAACAGCTCCCGTTTCTTATACCCCCGTTCGTTCCTTTCGAATGGAATGATCAAAATGGATCAATTTTAAGCGAAAGATCCAGGAAGATAAACGATTTCGCGTTGCAATGAAACCGAACTACAGATATATTTCAAACGAGGAATTTTCAACACGTCGACGACCGGGTATTTAATTTCCATCCTTTCACGCAGGACCGGGCATATAATAGACTTTTGACTCAAATTACGTAATAAAATAAAACGCAGATAACGATTTAACAATCCTATGTGTTAGAAAAGTACGTAGAAAAGTACACGATAAAGTACATAGGCGTAGAAAAACGTAAATTCCCGTGATCGGTCGTCAAGCCTTTGGCCTACAACCACGTGAGAGACTCGTGGTCCGTCGGTCGGGTCGAAACTGGCTATCACGGGCCTGGCTCGTGGTACGTCGACCGGGTCAAATGCAAACACCACGTGTCACAGCCGTGGTTTTCGTAGACGTACCCTATTCCAAATAACACAGCCCAGGCTAGTGGACTCGATTGCGCGTTATTCTTGACTACGTTCGCACAGTGGAATATATTTCCTTAAATATATCAGAAAAATACGCGACCCTCTACGGTGTCCTCGAAACGAAAATTTCGCGTGCGATTGGAACACGACTTGAGACAACAACTTTGCCGAGTCGCGGAATGGCTCGAAGGCTCGGCCGTTCTGTTTACGTTTTGGGACCACGCTGTTGAAGCTCGAATCGTAGGACGAGGAGTTAACGGCGTTAATATCTCGAAACGAATCACGCGTTAGGCTGTGCTCGCGTAATCGCTACGCTCGAGTGCCTCGAGTGCAACGACGAACATCGTGATTGCCCGAAACGAGTACGTCGAGTGCGAAGGGATAAAGAAACGTAGTAGTCGTCGATTCGGGGACTCGAGATAAAAGCGAAGAACGCGAGAAGGGTGGGAAGAAAAGGAACGGGAGAAAAAGTGACGTTCGCGAAGGGACGCGACACGGTTTGGTGAGCAGTGAAAATAAACGGTGCCGCGTCCCAAACAGAAAAGCAACTGCTCCAGTCGTGGTCTGGCTCGAATTTTCACCGTGAACTCTCGCCCCATAAGTTCCTAATAACTGTCAGCGACAGGCGCGCCTCTCCTCGCCGCCCGATCCCGACAGTTCGTGGGAGTCTCGAGATTATTTCTAATTTCATCTCCGTTCGGTGGCATGCGCTCGTACACGCGAAAAGAGAGGAGAGAGCGGTCGTCGTAACTCGTTTAAATCGAACCACGCCGGAAACGTTGCTCTCGCGACGAGCAGGACGTTTTAATGGCCGCGGCGTCGAAAAATAACGCGATACCGCGCGCTCCGTTCCGGGAACCCTGGTCCTGGGTAATTTCGCAAATGAAACGAGTGCATTTCCGTGCGCGGCACGGCCCAGGATTCGCTTAATTACCGCGATGAAAATTCTCCATTACGGCGGGTAATCGAGAGTAAACATCCCCGTGATTCGATGGAAATTAACCAACAGGTGAACGAGCACGAGCCCTCGTCGAAAAGGCCGAACACAGCGGAACCGAATCGGCCACGGCCGACGCGACCGATTTAATTCGTCGGAGAAAGAGGAGGAAACGGGAGGAGAACGGTCGAAAAGCGCGAGAGAGGAGAGCCGTCGACGCGTATTCGGCAGCACGCGTTAATCTCGCCCGACGTTTCGCAGCGAGTCGCGAATATCGATCTCCGCGGCACGTCGACTCTTTTCAATCCCCCTCGGAGATGCTTTATTTGTTTCCTCGCTGCATTAAGTTCCGTCTTTCTCTGCCACCCCCGAGACACGCGCTCGCGGAATTTCACCCTGCTTCCACTCGCGCCTAGCGCGTTTCCCTTTCGTCGTTTCCTCTCGCGAACCATCGTCTGTCGCCGAATCGGATCCGGAAATCTCCAGTCAAGCTATCGCGACGCGTTAATCGCGGAAAAATTGCGTGTCCGGTGGATCTCGTCGCGATGGAAAGGTCTGGAAGTATCACGGGGAGGACGACTACACGAGGTGCTTTCGACGATTTAATCGGCAGCGTCGATTTTCGCGACGGACGACACCCGTCGGCTATTCGCGGATCGCGATGTCGACGCCGTTCGACGGACAGCGTCGCGCGAACACGATCGTAAAAGTTTTATCACGGGGACGTTATTCGAAGAATGGCGGATTTTCGGGAAAACTCGGTTAATACTCTTCGGAGGGGGGTGAAAAATCTCGCGAAACGGTGGTAACTTTGCGGCCTGCGGGTGGCTCGGTCGCCACGTGCCGACGCGAAATACCCCGGTCGTAATTTGCACGCGGCACGAGAAGCAACGTATCCGGTGTAACGGCCTTTCACAACCTCGGCGATATGGTCCATTTCCCGACGCAATTACCGCGCCACGCACGCACCTTTCCGCCGATGCAATCGTCGCGTCTGCTTCGATGCGCGTTTTCACTCGGTAATCGCGATAGCGAGAAAGAAAAGGGGTGCCTACCTCAAAAATTCGGGCGACACCTTGCCGATTTGCTAGCAGCGCATTTCCTTCGAAAGTACGGGGCACCCTCCTCGTGGCTGGCTTCTACGCGCACCACTCGCGTCGCGGAGGGTCGTGGCAATTTCCCTGCTCCAAGACGATCCGTGTATCCTTTTCGATCACTGCGCGTCGTTTCCTCTCACGAGTCACTCGGCCACCGTAAGCTTGTTCCTGCGGGGTACACTTTCCTCGAGATCACCCGTCGACCACCGTCTCTGCTCGTCGATCGTGCGCTGCTCCTCTCTCGCCCGTTCGCGGAGGAACGACGGGACGACGGGACGGGGACGACGACGACGACGACGACGACGACGGGGACGGTTGCTCGTGTCGAAGCGTCGTTGAGAATCTCGAGACGAGGCGACGAGCCATACGCCGTCAACGGACACGACGATGAACCGGGGTGGTCGTCGTGGAGAACGATGCACTGCACCCGACACTCTCGATCATTCCTTTATCCTCTTTCACTCGAAGGCACGTCGGGTTAGCACCCGCACGGAACCCACCACGGGAAACCTCACTGTTTCGCACGAGTCGAAGACTTCCACGGACGCGGTCGAGCTCGCGTCCTCCAGTGTCAGCTGTCTCGCGCTTTCCACTCGGAACATGTGTTCGTGTACGCACCCGAGTGCACTCGCGCAATCTCACCCTCCGACACTTTTCCGCTACGAAACACGCGCTCTACCGATCACCAAACTCTTCACGACTACACTCCCTTGTCGGCGGCGCGCGGCACACTGTTGCTCGCCGCTTTCGCCCGATCCCTCGGAGGCTTCGTTTCGTGCCTACCCCCACTCCGCCGCCCGAAGCCTTCCTCTACCACGTTGCCACTGCCCCCACCCGACGCCCGGCCGCCCCACTACCGCCGCTGCGCTAGCTTCCCCCACTCCGTCCGCCGCGACTCTTCTTTCTTCGTGCTCCGCGTGGCAGACTCCTTTCACGCGAGTGCGAGCGAGACCGCCGAGGGGTGTAGTGGCGCTGGTGCGTCAGACGAGGATGGAAACCGGTGTCGTCCTTTTAGAGCGTGAACACAACGGTGACTCGGTGGAAAAAAGAAAAAAAAAGGAAGCTCAGCCACGGCAGCAGGGTGCACGCGGATGGTCCAGGTTCTTCGAGCTTCTACCGCTGTGCCGATCGTGGCGAGCGCCTGCACCGTGGTGCCCTCCACCGTTTCGCGAGAGCTTCACGGGGGCTGCTGCTTCGGGTCGACGAGCCGCAGACGGGGTTGAATGACAGGACTCTCCGCGTCGGGGCAATTCCGCGGGGGCTGTAACGAGACAAAGTCGTCGGGTAAAGTGACAAGCGTCGTTTGTTCCGACGAGCGTTTAATTCGCCGCTCGACTACGGTTTCCTTTCCGCCACGAGTCCGCGCGGAGCGTAATGAAGCGTTCTCGACGGGAGTCGCGATAAACGCGTAGGACGCGGAATCAGAAATTACTGTAACGGAACATCCGCGTCTGCTTATCGGCGCGCAGCGATCGCGAGCGTCGCGCGTCGTGGGATATGGGTCACGAGCGCACTTACTGTAACGGAACATCCGTCTGCTTATCGGCGCGCAGCGATCGCGAGCGTCGCGCGTCGTGGGATATGGGTCACGAGCGCAACCGCGCGTTGTTCCGATCGCGAACAGCTGGAAGAGTCTGCCTACGAGAGGACGACGCTCCGATCTATCGAGTTCTATCCACTCTCGACGCTTTCTAAGCGAACCGCCGCTGCTCTCTATGCTCGCCGAGAAGAAAGAGCAATGGCCGCGTCTGATCCGGCAATTCGGAGTTTCCCGGATGCCGGTAAACAAGTGTCCAATCATCTCGTGGATTCGAACGCGTCCGAAGCGGCGGTTTGCTTTGACCGAATACTTAGCCAACGCACTCCTACGCGCGTATAAACGCAACAAGGCGGACGTATCGCGAAAACGCAGCCGGAATTGCCGGCTATGTTCCAGCGGCTGTACTGGATAGAATTAATTAAACGCTCCTCCTCCCCCGCCGGCCCTATCCCCCTGCCAGCGTGGGTGTATTTACCCGATGGGCTTTGAGGATCGGATTGCAGGCGCCCCGTGAGAGAAGGTCCCGTCGTCGTTTGTTCCCTCCTTCCCGACCGATCTCTCGCTCCTTCTTTATCCCGCGTCGCACCCCCGTTCCCACACCCCCTGCCGCCCTCTCACGGTGGCTGCACGCTTCGTGGCAGCGGTATTTCGAGGTCTAGCGGGGACTACCGGCGGATATCCGCAAATACCGCGAACGAGTATTTAGAAATCCTTTCGTTCGGGCCGGTGGATCGCGAAAGGGAAGCGGTGGCCGGCGCCTGGCGTCGGGAACTTCAAACGGCGGGCCTAAGCTTTGCGGAACAGGTTGATGCCGAAATAGTCCATTGTGGTTATTGTATTGCACGCGATATTGTACCGTCGGCGGGCTATTCGTCCGGCTAAACGGTCCACCGTTTGCCATGGGGTTGCTCCGCGCGGCCCATGGCCACCACCCTATGGCAGACCGCAGACGTTGATGGAACGAGTCACCGGTGGAGCGAAAAAACCGGCGACGAGAGAAGCCGCTTCGGATCTGCCGCGATCCGAGGTGTGCAGCGATCGGATACTCGCGAAGCCTGTGCCAGACTCGCGGAGATTATTCGTCGACGATGCTCGGTGGGCGGACGCCGGCGCCTACTACGCCGAGCGGCGACAGCTTTTCTGGAAGCGCTCCAACCGGGGCTTGTTTGCCGAACGCCAAGCCGAAAGGTGATGCAGCGAATTTTCCGAGTGTTTGCTAAACATCCTTCTGGAGCTTGTGCACCGTGACGCCGAGTGGATGCTCGTCGACGGGGCCCCCGCGTGTCGCCGGAAAGGCGTTAATGCATTCCGTGAGAAAGTGGCCGCGGTTTCACGGCGACCGGGAAACCGTGAGTGGCCACGCCGCTAACTCTCTCGCTCCGGGATTTATCGTTGCCAACCGGTTTGCGTTTTCAGCGAGAATTCGTCTTGTTTCGTGCGAAGGCTCCACTGACCGAGGTAATGGCGGAGCGTTCGTTCACGTCCGCGGAATTAGGGAAAATTGGGGAAAACGCGCGAGACACGGAGGGAAATTTTCGAGCGTTATCGACGCGGTTAGGTACCACGAGAGGCGGAGCGGAATCGACGCCGCGGCGGTTAAGAGTTTTAACGCGAGCAAATACGGACTCGACCTGGCCGCGCCAGTGGATTCCATCGTGGAGAGGAAGATTGCGCAGTCTGTTTGCGAGGGATGATGCATCGTTCGACAAACACGGGTAATCTTCGTCGGTTTTCGGGCGTCAGAAGTTTGTTTAACCTTTCTCAAAAACACGCGAGATAGCCGGTGTATCTAGTCGGGCAAATAGACCGAGGAACTTGTCGTATCTGCGGAGAGTAAGAGGGAGAGAGAGAGAGAGAGAGAGGGAGATGGGCAAAAACACGCGATAACAGGCGAGGAACGTAAAGTTCGTTGCTCTCGGAAATTCGATGGAAAAACCGGCGATAGAGCGCTAATATCTTCGACCTGCGTTCTTTCGCGAGTGGCCCGAAAACGAAATAGCGTCCCGGCCAAAGCGGAACCATCGGGCAATTATCGACGATTTCTCCGCTTCTCCCGTCTTCGCTACGTTTTACGGCCAATTTCCACGATTTCTCCGGGAATGGGCGGTGAAACTCGTGGACGCGTTATCGGTCGACGAGCTCAGGTCGATCAACCGCACGCATTTCCAAACGATCGACGCGATCGGTGTCCCCGATTACCAGCGGTGATCGCGGCGTGCTTTTAAATAAACATGAGTCGCGTCGTCGCGAAGAGTCACGGAGTTGGACCGCGATCGCCACGTAGCGGAGCGAACATCGTACCGGATCGTGTAAAGACGATAACGGGCAGGCCGATAAGATTAAACAGCATCGATACAAAGAGCCGTGCTGTCCCGAACCGTGTCGACGCCGAAACGATTTTCCCCGACGCTGTTCGATCTTCAAAGGCGGCACATTGTCAACCGGGACGCTGGCCGAAGGTTGATCGTGTACGGGAAGGAGACGCCAAGGGGGTATTAAAATATCGTCGCTATAAACAGCCTGACTCACGGCGACCCGCGCACGCGCGCTCCCGATCGCCGCGATAAAATTGATATTAATGGAGCTACGAGTCGGACGCCGCCGTTAATTCCTCCCGGTCATTTTCGGAGCGGCTTCTTCGACGCTTTGTCGACCAGGACGAGTGGAATCTGACGGGAAAAGTCGCCAGTCTCGGTCCATTCGACACCTGTGCAGCCAGATCTCCGTTATCCGAGTAGGCTAGCGCTTCCATGAATCTCGCCGCGTTGACGGGTTAATAAACGGGTCATCGCGCGAAGCGGTCGCGATTTTTCTCCGCGCCGGGCATTCGAAGGGGCTGGCAAAAAGCCGACGAGCTGTGTAACCGATGCACCGGCATCCAGCGGCATCCACCGGCCTTCCAGGTCTTCTCTCCGCTCGCCGTGGTTACACGCACCGCGTATGGGTGCCGAGGCGCAACTGATTTATGATCCAAAAAGAAATTACGAACGTAGGTGGACGATGATTTATCACCCGGGAATAAATTGCGTATACCTTCGACTGGCAGGGGTCGTCAGTCCGCGGAGTGCCACGTGAACGTAGTCGAAGGACGATAAACGCTGTCCGCCGTATTTGCCCACGGTCCCCGCTATCGCTCTTCTCCGGCCCGATAACGATTTCCACGCGAGCCGACCACGGGAAACGCAATTTACCGTCGCGTAAATTTCACGCGTTTCCACTCGTCTCGTCGCGACGTTCGTTACTCTCTCGACGAAGAAGCACCGATCTACACCTCTCCGCCGCGTCGTAAACCGATCCCTGCGGAACCGAACGATTCGTTCCTCGAGTTCTTCGATCCTCCTCCTCTCCTCTCCTCCCGGCATACCCGCGGCAACCGAATTTCGCGGCCGAATCGGCGAGATCCTTAAAATCCGCACTCGCGGCGCGACGGGATTAATTCGCGAACGTTGCGGAACGCACGCGGTTAATCGTCGCGATGCAAAGTGGCCCGTTAATATACCGGTGGAACGCGCGAGACGATCGCGGCCGACGCGACGCTCGCGAAATTATTTCACGGCGAGATACGCGCCAGAGGCTCGTACGATCCGCGGTCGCATACTCGAAACGTCGCCGCGAATTTAAACCTCGAATTCAGCGGCACGTGCGCCCGTGCGGGATTACGAGCGGAGAAAAACGAAGATACCTCGCCGAGATACGCCGCGACATAATTCATTCCGCCGCGTTATATGAAGTAGCTCCCCGTGATGAATTTCGGAACGTCCCGTGCCGCGAAAGTATATCAAGAAAAATGCGATGCACCTCCGCCCGCGTTTAAACCGACTCTCGTTCCCTTTTCCATCGCGTTCGCGCGAAAACAGGGTACTACGGGGGAGAGAGCGGAGAAAAGTGGATTCGAGATGAACCGACTTATTCCGAGGATCTCGAGGTGTATACCTGCCGCGGTGAACGTGACGCGGCCAGAAGACACCGAATTTTACGCAACACTGCCGCCATCGCTAGGAATTTTACTAGCATAATTCGGCCGCTCCGCCCCCGAACGCGAAATCGCGTTGGTTACGGCTATCGGGGATTTTCCACGCGAGGAGACCACGGGGAACAGTTAAAAAATTTGCCCAAAGCTAGGTCTATACGCGAAACGAAAGGCAAGAATGGACGATAAGAGCAAACGGCCGGAATGG